TTTGCATAACGAATATATTAATAAGGAAACTATGGTAGAGCTATAGTGAAATATACTTCATTGTTAATTTTTACAAGCTAGTTCAGTTCTACAGTCATACTCATGGCGATCCTTTGTTGTTTCTTGTCCAGAAAGAACACCAATCGAGCCAACTCTTTGTTGTTTAGTCTTTACCTTATCTTTGGTATCTTTTGTATACTGAAGAACATCTATTTGTATTTATTAACTGCCTATAACCTTGTAGTTACTTCCATTTAGTACGACATACTTTAAACAGCTATTCAATGAGATTGTGATTAAAGAATTTTATTTCCTACTTAATTTGATTAAATCTATTAGCATCAAGTCAGAAGTTTTCGTCACGAAAGGCCCTGTGCCCTTGAATACCCGCAAATTTGTAGCGAAAGGTATAAAACTTGATTTGTCAAGTTTATAACTTGATGACCTCACACGCTCGAGACATACTACAATACGTTCCTCATTATTATGCTATTTTTTATCACTTGTAATATCCGTTTGGTGATCAAGAATGCTTTTTGAATATTTGATTTTGTATGTTAGTACTTATTATTCCTTTTTTGCTAGAGATATGTGTATTTATGTTCACATTTACATTATAAGGTAACAAATTTTAAGATAGTTAACAACAATTTCGTTTCTATTCGATTTAAAAATTAGTCCTCTAACTAAAATGCACCGTTAGGGATTATATATTTTATTTCTATACGTTTTTACTTTCAAAACGTTTTTAACATATAATAAAAAAATTGAAGTAATGAATATAATATAGAAATACATATGTTTATAATATTTAAATTATCTTTAAATGGTTTTGTAATAACAATAATATAAAATTGTTTTAATATGCAGTTTATCACACCTAATATTACAGATCTCTTGATTATTTCCTACGATTTGTTTACACATGATAGGTAAATCAAATAAGTCGTCTTGAACTTTTGAACTAAAGGAAAATTCCAAGTAGCTCTTCTCAAGTTATTTGTAACTTACAGAAACGATAATACGACGTAAACCATATTATTATTTTCTCTTTGAACATCCTCTATTGGAATAACAACTATACGAGTCAGTAAATAAGGATTATAATGAAGTTGTATTAGGTTAATCGCAAATTCATTACCGTGAGAATCGAGGAAGGATACACTAATTGTGATTGATTGGGAACATCCTCAATTATTGGTAATATGTTGCATGCAGTTACAGATCGCACATTCTCTTACTCTCTTCCCTATCAAGTCTAGTCAAGTTAATGATATTGTAAATAAAATAATTGCTTGTGTTTTTATAACGTTTTAACATTAAGCTCTTGTGATAATGTAATAGGAGTAACTCAGGGTACGATTTTAGGGCCGATATAATTTTCCTGTTTTTGTAAAAAGACATCTTAAATCATGCACGATTATAAATAATTTACGTAAGAGAAATTTATATAAAGTACGTCGAAATATCCACGAAGTAAATTTGATAAGTAAATATGAAACTTTCTAAACGAACAGCTGAACATTTGTCGGAAAGTCATAAATATATTAGAAAACTAGCGGCCCGTCCCGGCGTCGCACGGGTGGACATTTTTATCATTTCCCTTCACTGCTCTGCGCCTATTGATCGTAGCGTGATGAAAAGTATACTATAACCTGCCCAGGAGTATGAAAAATAATTGTACCAAGTTTCGTTAAAATCCGTCGAGTAGTTTTTGTTTCTATAACGAACATACAGACAGACAGATAGACAGACAAAAATATTACTGATTGCATTTTTGGCATCAGTATCGATCACTAATCACCGCCTAATAGTTATTTTGGAAATATATTTCATGTGCAGAATTGACCTCTCTACAGATTTATTATAAGTATAGATAGATGAATATGGTTGCGACTTGGTACTTGTAAAAGATTCCAAAATTCAACCTCAATTATAAATTGCGACCTGTATTTCCATCTGAGGTGCATTTTTTTTGGATTTACAGAACAAATTTCTAAATGAACATAGCAATATTTAATATCAGATTAACAATATTTTTTTTATAATCCCATTATGAACGTAACTCAGACCTACTGTATTGTCTAACAACATCTAACAAGTTAGCGTAAATAATCGGCTGATTAGAAGCTAGAGAAATAAGAAAAGCCAATTTAAACGTAGTATTGAGAGTGAAAGCAATAACAGTTTTTCTTTCCACCTCGGTGGGTGATTTATAGTTTTTATTTTTCTCCTTAACGGTTGCCGTACCCCAGAATTGTAACTAATATTGGTTTTGCTGTCGCTAATCAATAGCAAGCTGGACACTACAAAAAAAAGTTGTAAAATGTAATCTAGACTTGACGGATTCGTTTTGCGTGAACAGTTTTATATACATATTAGCTGACTCGGCAAACGTTGATTTACCATATACATTATTTCGAGAACTATACATGAAAATTTATCCTACTACAATATTCGATTGCCATCTTGCAACCCTATTGCGGTATATAAAAATCGCGATTAAAAAACAGCGGTTGATTGTCAAAGCTTGAAAATTTGGATTTGTTTGCTAAATCATAATAAAATAAAAATGTAAAATTTTGTCAAAAAAAAAACTTTAAGGGTAGGTCATCCTTATCCTTAAGGGTATGAAAAATAGATGTTGGCCGATTCTCAGACCTACCCGATATGCATACAAAATTTCATAAAAATCGGTAAAGCCGTTTCGGAGGAGTTTGGTAACAAACACCGCGACACGAGAATTTTATATATTAGAGACATCGACTACATTACGAGTTTAATATTAAATTAGTTCGCCTCTACATGATCGCGATAATTTTTTACGTTTCAGCAGCTTCTGTTATATTGTTTGTTATGATTTGCTATTTCATTTCTTTTAATAAAATTTTAAAAACATTTTGTTCAGTATTACCGAGTTTTTTTTTATAGGTGATAATAAAATTGTAACCCCACCCGCGCTATCGGTATACGCTGATAGGGCCAGTGAAGGATGATAGATGAGGATGAAACAGGTCATTTAGCCAATCGTGACGAATTCAACGAGAATTGTTCACGATGGTTTCCAGGGGGAACCACGTAGAGGTCGACCTGATAGGGCATATTGCTAGCAATGGGGCTGTCAAACTCCATTGCTAACAATCCCTTCCCCCCAGTATTAGTGAGTTTATACACAAGATAGTCATTAGTCACTTCTATTACAATAATCGAGTCTAAAGGAACTTCTGAGTATTTTTCACTTTTTTTTCACATTTTTACATTGAATACTGGTATATGTTAATTTATTTTAGTCATTAACATACTTAATGTAAGTTTCTTATTAATTGGGTAGATGACTGAATATTCAATAGTTAATTTTATGTAACCTCTTTTAAAATGTTTGACAGATATTTAATTTTTTTTATACCACTGAGATGGCAAACAAACATACGGCCCACCTGATGGTAAGTGGTTACCGTAGCCTATGAACGCCTACAATACCAGAAGTATTACGCGCGCGTTGCCGACCCTGAAGAAATCTCTTTACCCCCCTTTTGAAGAACCCCATGCTGTAGTCTCTTGGGAAAACCTCGGCAGGGAGCTCTTCTATCCCATTTGTTTTTTTTTTCGTGTAGCAGTTGTTTGCATGATTGTGTTTTGGTTTCAACAGATATAGAAATGAAATTATAGGGTCACAATTCGTTGTATAAGCGGTAGAACGGTTAAATGTCTCGTGCAAGTATAAACCAGCCGTAAAGTTAAAGATGATACAAAATGAGATAATGTAAATAGAATTAAATGATATGCCGGATAGAATGATAAAATGAAGATCTGTGTTTCCGCTGTAATTTTGATCAGTAGGCCGTAGGATGGATGACGAAATATTTTTCTCACACTCTCCTTGTCGATTGAAAGCATTAGTGGGTCACAGGCTATAAGGAACTGAACGATATCTCAGGTACTTGGGACTTAATCAAACCACAAGTTGCAGTGATTGTTATGACACAGTTGTTGTCATTGATCTCGGTTGTGACTTCTGTTTATGGTCAAGATATGGCAGTGCTATTGATTTAATATTTTGTAATAACAACGCTATGTATAGAATCGTATTAAATAATATACTTTTTTTTTTATGGATGAAAATGGTATGGTAGCCCCGCCTGCGCTAACGGTATACGCTGGCGGAGCACCAGTGAAGGGTGATAGATGAGAATGAAAACAGGCCAGTTAGCCCATCGTGATGAATTCATCAGGAATTAACCATGATAGTTTCTAGGGAGAACCGCGAGGAGGTCGACCTGGTTGGGTATATTGCTAGCAATGGGATTCTTAGTCTCCATTACTAACAATGCCTTTCCCCCCATATATTTTACTGAGATTTTCTTACACAGCCCCATTGTATCTTTATCTTGGTGCCGTGTTTTATCACGTCAGGTGTTATCGGTGGAAGATTATTTAGACTTTCTAGTTTATGTTCATCTAAAACCATCAGCGTTGTTTTTATCTCTGTCCAAAAATATTTTTCGACTTCTTTAAATTTATTTGCTGCCAGTATAAAATTTTATATTTGTAAGATATGTGTCGGTATCACTATCACGCCGATATAAAGTCGATTCCTGTCTGTATGCCCCTATGTATGCTTAGATCTTTAAAACTACGCAACGGATTTTTTAATAGATAGCGTGATTCAAGAGGAAAGTTTATATGTATAATACATGCATAATATAATGTCGTAATGTAATAGGGGTCGGCGACGCTATTTAGTATTTAGCATTGCATCCGTGCGAAGCCGGAGCGGGTCGCTAGTATATGTTGTTTCGTCTAGTACATTATAAAAAAAAAATTAAGTACCTATTCAAAGATAAATGAAGACAATTTTCTAATCAATCATTTGTTTATGTGAAATAACGCCGCAAGATAAAAACTGATAAAGAAAATAACAAGACAACGACTCAATATAAACAAATCGCTCATGGAGCCAACAAGAAGGACGTTAAAAGAGTACATTTATATGTACTTACAGCTTTAGAGTAACCGCTGCCGGCGCTGCCATCTGAAGAGTTGCTCAATCTCCTCTCGCTGTTAGACGCCGGCGGTGACCACGTTGAACCACTGTCCGATGGCATTTTTACACACTTCACTACAAGAACCGTCTCACATTATATATGGCTGATCAACAGCTAATCACTATTAACGCGTTATTTATAACCGTTGCGCACAACACTGTCACTTCACTGATGAACTTGGTCTGGTCTCATTTTACGCGTCCCCTTTACCTGTAAAATAATAGTATTGTGTTAAAACATTACAATAAGTACGCTATTATGTACCTACTGGATAGTGGAGTTCCTTTTTTGTAAGATTTTTTTTTCCACGTCATTCAAGTGCCGCTGCCTCAGGTAGGCAACTTGCAGTAATAAAAAAAAAAGTGTGTCGAAACTTAATGGTGTTTTAAAAGTAAATGAGCAGTAGAACGAAATTTTAAATATTGACCACGTCTGATAATCAGATAGAAAATTTATAAAGCAATTGTGTAAGGTAATTTTAAGAAAAATTAAATATTCGAACGGGCAACAAAAAGTTTCATGGTTATACGTTCAGACAAAAAAGAAACAACTATTGTAGCCAAAGTAGTTTAACATCTGCTCCGATTTAGAACTGTATATAACTGACATAGCACGTACAGAAGGCTTTTGCAACAAATCACTTATGTAACGTTCACATAAACACAATAGCTTAACAACGAGAGTGCGTTAATTACCCGAAAATAAGAATTCCACGGTCGACTGATTCGCAACAATAACACGGGAACGATAAAGTTCACAATCGTTCGGATATTTATCAATGAATAACCGTTATTGCAAATGTTCCTCGCGCACGTCCGTACCTCAGCGCGCCGCTGTCGAGACTACCCGATACCGCCGTCCCTCCCTACGCACGGTGGATTTGACGGAATGAAACAAATGACATATGACAGATAACATTTCTTCATCGATAACGTGTTATAATTACTGTTACTTTGTAACTTTAACGTTTTGTACCTTAAAATAACGCTACTGTTTTTAGGGTCGCATTTAGAAGTTATGCGGTCGCAAAAAACGTACGCTGCGTGTACCGAATGCGATTGTATTTAGATTGGCGGTCTATTTTTAACAGATTAGAAGGGTGAGATAGTGAGACAACAAACCGTATTAAGTGATGTGAGGTGATTTATATATCATACATCAAGATAAATATATATCAACACGATAAGGATGTTTCAGTACTGTGTCCAGATACGTATATATTGGATACTAAATCAGGTTTGTCTTAATTCATAAATTTTATAATAAATTATACATACTAGTGTTTGCATGAAATGATCAAATTTATAAGATATTTAGTCATTCGAAGTCTAAGCCGAGTTAACGGATTGCCATTTCATTATGCGTGTAGTTTTAGCATGTCAAAATAGTTTTATTAATTAATGATATTTCGTCTCGGGTCGATTTCATAATTCGTATATTAATCATCATATCACGCTATGACATAACCCGTCGCTTTAACTTATATTTAATACAAGCTTCTGATCGTTGCTTTGTACGTGTGGTTTTCAGAAATAGGAAAACCTATGATATTGTTACGAAGCGAAGGACTGTGATGAGGTAACAAATGGTGAATACATTAGGGGGGAAAGGGATTGTTAGTAATGGAGACTGAAAATCCCATTGCTAGTAATATACCCAACCAGGTCGACCTCCTCGTGGTTCCCCGTGGAAACTATCATGGTTAATTCCTGATGAATTCATCATGATGGGCTCACTGGCCTGTTTTCATTCTCATCTATCACCCTTCACTGGTGCTCCGTCAGCGTATCCCGTTAGCGCAGGCGGGGTTACCATACCATTTTCATTCACCAAAAAAAAAAAAGGTGAATACAAGGATTTTAAAAAAGAAATATATTGTACAGTGACCCAAAATATGAAGATAGTGTCAAAAGATATAAACCAAATAAATGGAAACATTAAAATTAAAATTTTTAAAATAGTATACTATAAAAGGATGTAAAGGAGTTTGCATCGACTGATCAACAAACAGAAATAAAGTATTTCTAGAGAACATTTCAAGACAAAACATACACCAGATTCTAAGTTAGACCTTTAAAAATATAACTATAAAAATGGTATCCAATTTGGTGTAATAGTCTTTATGTAATATCGAAAGAAAAATACAGGCAGACAAAATTTCAATAATTTATTGTTTTGGTCTTATTAAGACCTTTCATATGAATTTCTCTTAAATACATGTACAGACATCCTCCAGTTACAATTTTATTATATTTGTAATATGTATTTGAATTTATTTATATTTGATCCCAATTCTGTCAAAAGTCACCGATCAACTACATCAAAAAAAAAAATTGTGACACGATAAGTACAGTCACTGACGAAATTAACGTATCATCATGTAATGTTGCAACGTTGTAAGATTATCTTTAAGTGTTCATGTTTTAAACTTTGAAAGGTTGGCCTTATAATGTGACAATTTCAGAGCAACAGCAGGGCGTGCGCACGGAGAAATGGCTGTATTGTGCGCACGCGCAGTGGCCAACATTACAGTCAATTATAGGACACCTGGGTAACCGGTAACGATTTCTGATATTATTACTATTATTGTAATTCACTCGATTAAAGAGAATTTATTGTAGCATAATCTACAGAAATATAATAACAAATATAACAATTTATAAAGTGAATAACGGGTTATTATGGTTTAGTTGATGTTCGACTATTTCACTGTATTTTCTTTATCGTCTTTGCCAATTTCTATCAATGAAATTAAACATTTTTACCGAAGAAATAAAGATCAATATACAACAAAAATTTGATCCTTTTATTTCACAAGAAAAGCTAACAAAAATTTTGACTCATTTTGACTTAGGATTTGTATGAATAATCCATTATAAAAAGCGTGTAAGTGAGTTTATTTGTTTGTTAGCTCTTGGTGAATTCGCTGTAATATTTGTTATATAGACTATATTGGATGTAAAAGGTTTTTTATCCCACTCCGTGAAGTAACAGAATGTCTTGGTATGGTCACGCCATGCGCCACGTTTTAAAGAAAGTGCGTATGAAAGTAGAGGGATGTAAAGAGTACAATCCAAAGTACAAATGTAAAGGAGACAATCGAAGGAAAGATGGAGGGCTGTATTAAAGACGATATACATAAAAGAGGATTGAGCCAGGGAATGAAAGTTGACAAGAATTTGTGGAAGAACAAGACGTACTGCGCCGACTCCAAATAAATGGGGGAAAGCAAGGCAACGATGACGAGTGATATGTATCCAGCTCGCACGGATGCAGTCGCGAGCTAAAGCTAGTCATACTATAAGTCTAACTAATATATAACATACTTAATAGTACTGAATCAATAATAACATTAATTTTATCCCAGTTATCTCGAAAACATACTTACCCTTATCATGGGACACTTTCTACTTCAAAGACAGTATCTTGTGGCGTGTAACCTCAACGCGTAGAAACATTAAACAACCGTATATATATGACGATAAAATTCAAATTCAATGCAACTGTGGATTAGGTCAACAAGGACAAAGGGCTAACAAGAGAAAACCGTGTGTATGTTTATGTAACGGTGTATATACTATGCGCAGGCGTCAGTGGATTAATTAATAAGGTTAAACCATATAAAGATGGTACAAGTATTGTGCTCTGCCCACGTTTAATTTAGTTTTATTGATACTATAAAGAAATAACCCTATGTAAATTAGAAATAATCATAAAAACATATTATTCTCTTAAACTATAATAAATTATGTTTCACAAAAAAAAAAAAGAAATCGACTTCGATCGTGGCAAAACCAGTTATATAATGTCTATGGAATAAATCTAAAAGGCTATTCTTTCAGCTAAAAAAATATTTTTTCAAATCGATTTAGTAATGATGGAGTTATGAGGTCACAAACATAAAAAAAAAACAATCGAATTGAAAAAAGAAGGGGGTTTCCCTTCTTTTTTTAAGTCGGTTGAAAATCTAGTGTTCAAACTAATGTAATGTAATGTATTATTTGCTTCTACTTCAGATATGGGTACAATAAAAATTTATTTTTAAATTTTTTAACTAACTCTCTGATAATAGAAAACTCTAATTACAAACCGAGTTAATTCGAGTGAAGGCGTTGGGTATGCCAACGACTATATTCGATTCGGTAAGTGAAATATAATCAAGTGTCAAAGTTAAAAATGACGGCAACCGTCATAGTCATATCGTCATTAAATCATCATCATTATAAAATAGAGTGGTTAAAAACAACTGTTTTTGACTACTCTATTTTTTAGGAGTTCACCCCAATAATGGAATGATGACTTATGACTATAGGAAGATAGATGACATGGGTAATTTAAAAAAATATGTAAGTACCACTCTGTAAATTTACATTTTATTTCTATATTAGTTTTTTGCAATCGACTTATTTAGAGATGATTGGGAGTGTATTTTAATTTTTTTAACTCCATCTATTGGAGAAATACAGGAACTATTTTCGTATCAATAACTTAAAACGTACATTTATACATTCACTTTGTCGTACGTATTATATCTATATATTAATAGTATTTAAAATGACGAACAGAGATTCGTGTCGCCAGTCGCACTGTTTATAATTATTCTTCTCCATCCAAAGGTTGCCTGGAAGAAATCACTCTTAGCGATAGGGTCACCCATTGTTTTCTCGATGTCATATTTTCTTGTAATTGTTTGTATTTATAGTAAGTTTACTATTATTATCTTATAGAGAAAACAATAAAGAGTATCTATCTATCTATTTTTTATTCGAAATATTTCCTAATACGGATTATACAGTGTAGACGCTCTTAAAAGTGTTCGTGTTTAATTAAACATCAGTTTGACATTTAAGATGATCGCGGCCGCAGGCTCAGACGCTGGCATGAGGAAGGATCGAGGTCGACAAATAACATACTCATATATAATGTAAGAGGCCACTGAATGAACGAGTTTACGATGAATACAGAAAAATTATGTTACCTGATATTATCAATATACAGTTTGAAATAGAATTTACACTATTTTCCCGTCGTTATCCTGATTACTTAAGGGCGAAGAAATATATTTTTATCCTACCATTTATACCACTTTGGAAATGCATTTATCAGTGATATTTGCCATCTATAGTATGAAGGAAAAGATCGAGAAAAGAGGAAAGGAACGTTGGTAGTAAGTTAAGAAAGTTGGTAAAAAAGAAATGAAGGAATTATAGGAAAAGGGAAATGAGAGAGACTGGAGTTGCGGAGGGGACATTGGTTAGAAACTGTAGTGACTCAGGAGGCTGGAGTCGCATATCATAAATGTACAAGACCTTTACTTTAGAACAGGGTAAAATAGAAATCATTAGCATATTTTTTGTTATATGCTCTACTAAAGGAACAGGGGTCGTAAAACTTCAGAAATTTCGAGTTTCTAATTCTAATTTGATAGCTAACTAGCTCGACGCGCCGTGGTCTGTAGGTGTAGGAACTTGTATTTTTACCTTTTAAAAAAAAAAAGATGACTTATTTAATAAATTCACAGTTAAATCTGCTGAACTGGATTCGTATTATTAGGTATTTTTAAATTTACCCTCTCAAGAGTGAGAGAAAATGGGTGAAATAGGAAACAAGAAGCATGAAGTAAGATGTAATAAGCTGAATAGTAACATATAAATATGTTAGGTATATTTTTTGGTCTGTACTGTATGTATACTGTATTTCACTTGAATTTTCTAATTGTCAGTATATATTTTTGTTCTTGGTGCAATAAAGAGGTATAAATAAATAAATGTTGGAAACACTGAAAGGCAGAATTGAATATTATAAAAAAAATCAGACTCGACTTTTTACTTACTTTATTTTTGTCTTAGTTTTGCCGAATTACGCAACGGACTCCGATGTGCTTTTCACAAAAAAAAAAAAATTCAAAAAAGTTTATATTCAGCCTTTAATTGCTCAAACTGTGCTAAACATAATCCTCTTAGGGGGTTTTACTAGGTTGCCAAAAATGTATGTAATATAGTTTAATTAAATAGATGAAATCTTTTTACTAAAATTCTCCCAAATCATTGTGGTGAGATATTTGGCCAACAAACAAGCTAGTAAGTTTTTGCGCCACGCCAGATGAGATAGAAAATAAAATCAGTATCTATTGAAATCTGAAACGGGCCTTGTACAGTAACAAACTCCCTTTCGAAACTGTAACGTCCGCAAAAACTATAATAAAAACTTTAAATAGCTTATTTGATGACATAAAATGAATTCTCGGTTTACTCAACTTAAATTGCAAATATCTATTGATTAGATAGTTATCGTAATACAGATCATTGGTTTCTTTTAAATGCCCTGCTGTTGATAATGTAACCAATTTTTTGTGTTGCATTTGAAATCATCATTACCTTGTTTGTTTAATCGTTTAATCTATCAACATCCATCGGGTTGATATTGGGTGTGCATTCATCAATCCTAATAGTGTATTGGTAGTCCACTGCTGGGCATGGGTGTCTCAGAGAAGTGGGTATTAGCATTATTAGATTCAGCTAAATATTATCCTGTTATTTTCGACAGCTTAATTTATTTCAAGATTTCTTTCTTTGCGCCGGTGAACTGTACTATATAAATATAGTGCTGATTGATAATTTATGTCATAAGACGCGAACCATTTTGAACTTAGTTCCAATAAAGAAACACATGTATTTCCTTTGTAAAATTATAGTCCAATTATTATTCAAGCAAGACACAACCCTATTGTAATACATCAGGGTCAATACCGCTTGCGAACTAGAGGTCATTGGCTATCCTCTTAAATCTTTTTATAGTTTACAAAAATTTCCAAGCAAACAATAAATAGAATGAGATATAAAACTTGAATTACAAATAGATTATTATAGATCGTTGTCTGTCCATATTAGCATTAAGAGCGTGTGCGAGTGAGACAGCATGAATCAAAATAGCTGTATCAGAGACGGTGATCGCAAAAACGGTAGCGTAACGGGACGCGCACGCGCCGCGCATGCCGAGCTGCGGGTGACCGCTAGTGTTGCCAGTTTTCCCGATTTGAGTGGGACGTCCCGATTTTCAGGGGTCTGGGGACGCGTCCCGATTTGTACCTGATCGGAATGCTAAATGTCCGGATTATTAAAAAAATTAAAAAGTTTTTTCATAAAAAAATATATATTTACGCTACGTATTATGTATATTTACACATAAAGTATGATTTTATTTTATAATTTCTACTAGTCCAGCAAGACTGATTACATGTTTAAATACATGTTTAATTTAGGTAATTAATATAATACTGTACTTGCACTAGTAGTTTAAAACACAATAAATTAAACTCAGAGTTAAAAGCCCCTTATTTTTTGTTTATTGTCCCGATCTGTAACCCTAAATCCCGATTTTTTTTTGACCTCATGTACCGATTTAAAGCAAATCGGACCTGGCAACACTAGTGACCGCCGTTGTTTCTGTTGTCCAGTTTTTACGGCTTTCTCTGTGAAGGGTATGAAGAGTTATAAATGATCAGGGATAATACACTTATAAGTTTTACCATTTGTTAGTTGACTAAGATAAATTGTTT